AAGATAATATTAATAATAACAATAACAATAATGATAATAATTGAAATAATAATAATAAGAAGAAGAACACAACAACAATAACGGTAATAGTAATAACAATGACAACAATAATACCAACAAGAAAAAATAATAAATTATACGCTAATAACAACAACAGCAACGTTGATAACGTCATATTAATAACGTTAATACTGATATTAATATCAATAATAATGACGGTAGTAATAACGAAAACAATAAAAGCAATAGCAACAATGCCATTAATAGTAACAATGACGAAAACAGTAATAACAATTAACCTAATGAAAGTGCAACTCGCAACGAACTATGAAAAAGTCATTACCTTTATTGTCCTTAAAGGTGTCCAAGAAAAGTAACGCTTCTTTACTACTCGAGAGTTGTAAGAAAAGAACAAAAACAGAAACAACGATTACTAAAATTGCTGAAAATACTCAAGTACATGAAATGTGGTTTACAAAATTTTAAAAAGTCAACAGACTTCTAGTAAAGTTGGCTTAACTTTTGTGTACTGCTAAGGGTATGATGTCCATGATGGTAAGAAAACCTGTGGTGGGATAAAGCAAAGACAGCGAGAAAAAATCAAGCTTTGGATATATACAAAAATAACTGTATCAAGAAATTGTATGAATCCATCAGTATCCGCTGTGCAATGACAGCTAAGCCAGCAACGGCAACAGGGCAATAGCGCTGGTAGTGACGGTTGTATGCGTGAATGTGTTTGTGCGTGTATGTATGTATGTGATGTCATTGGCGTTATTCGCAGTGTTGGCAGCAGTCATAGAGATACCGACATCAACCGCGTATAAGCGTGCATAACCGAGAGATTCAGAAAACGATAGTTCATACAGACTGCTACGGTGCATTGTTGTCCACGCAGACATACAGACGATCAGATAAGCAGACAAACAGACACATCACTCAATATTGTTTTCGAAACAACCACGAATGTTGGCCGGAAATCGAATTAACACACCAAGCACAACTGTACCCAAATATAGATCTGTGCCATTCCTTTCCTCCCCC